TAGCTTTAAGTAGCTAACCTCATGTCCTACTTATGTGGGGCTTTGGGTGCACAACTTTTGAATGTCTTTTAAAAAAGTCCTACAAGTTGAGTCAACTCCTAAGTTTGTGTTGAAGTTATGTAGTACCTCAACATGTTGGCTTCCACCATTTTGTTACCGGTTATAAGCAAAATCAGATGCTACATAACTAACCTAACCTGACCATATTATACATATATTTTGACACACATAGGCTGCAAATGGAAAAAATCCCAAAACCTTTTGCTTGAGATATTAATATGAAGGAGTAGGATATTAGAAAAATCGGAAGGATATTAGAGACAAATGCATAATCACTTATCATGAAAAGAAGACTGAAAAGAGGTTCTTCAAAAGGATTCCTATTTTCAGTTTTTTTATCGTTTAGAATACCAAAATTTAATTTTTCTTTCAAGTAGTCTAACAGAGAGTTTAAAATAAAAATCAATCGTTACACATATTTTTTAATTCATCAGCATATATTTATAATTATCATCCGTTATTTTACCTTTACATTATATATTTATCCTACATTATCTACCTTCAAAATATGTTAAATATTTTTCAAACATTTTTCCCTAACTTGAAAAAATCCCTCAATATAGAAGTCCATGGGAGATTAGCATTGAGAAATCTAAAGAACATTCAATATAAAGGTCCTCAATATTAAGGTCCTCACAGATATATAAGCAAGTTTCAATTTGTATAATTCAAAAATGAACACAAACTATAAAGAACAAACAACAAGCACCTTGTACAAACAAGCTTTTTAAAGAAATCTTGGAACAAACAAGCTTTTTAAAGAACAAACAACAAGCACCTTGTACGCTTGTTAATTCCAAATTCGCAACACAAGTGAGAACCACAAAACCACTGTAAATAAGTCCAGACGATAAAAAATGACCGAAAGCTCTTACAACATATACCAATCTAATTTTTGTGTCTTTGTTTGAAATGTGAGGCAACTATCAGAAAATTAACAATAAAACAAAATAATTAAATCTGTAGCCAGAATGAGTAGAGAATGAATTAACTACAAACCTAAAACAAAATCAAGTAAAAAGTAGTATAAGTGTATGACTGAATGCAAATGCATGAATCAAGCTTCGGTGTTTATCCATCGGAATTAAACCTTTTAATGACCCTTCAGCGATAAAAAAAAAAGGAACCCTGCAGATATACCTCGTTTCTCAACGTCCCAACTAAAAACACCGAATTCCATGCAGTCCTAGGAAGTCAATCACCCCCTCTACTCTACTATAAGGACCTCGTCCGCCTTTGGAAAATCTGCAGATAGTCTTCACATTTAAAAATTAAATGCAGTTACTACAAAACCAAACAAAAATAGAGTAGAGAATAAAAATCTAGAGAAAATCTAAGTGAGTAGTAGAAAGATATACAACAGCATAATTTAATGCTTTATGTGCTTTTCAGTTATGAAAGACAGCAAAGTTAAATAAATGAATGAACACCATTACCTGCTAATTATTAATTTGATTTTAAGAATATAAATGATTTAACAAAGAGTAAATAAAATTTCTGTATTGAACTTAGCATCCCGAAAACACAACATCAAGATACCTGCACTGAGCTCTAAACCACAAAATTTCTTCCATGGTAAAATTCCCATGCAAGGTATCATCTGGCGAAACAAAGCTGACGATCTTCTTGTACGATTGAATCAAAACTTACTTCCCATTAATCAAAACCATTCCACCAACCATGCACCTGACTGTTTTTCCTGCATAAGCAGAAAAAGAAGACATCTTTTCGGCTCCTGATGGAGCTATCATTGCCGTTATGCGGCCCGACTTTAGGTTCCCGTTGACAGCCCACATGAGATGCTTATGTTTTCTTTTTAGACCCACAATTACGTCCTTGAAAGCAATCTAAATAAGTGGTTTTTCCTTGTTGGTGAAACTAACATAGCGGAAATGCTTATAGAAGTAAAACCGAAATGAAAAAAAGGCCATTATAAAAGGATGATAAGTAGAATGGCTCTACTCTTGCAGAGTTGCTGTAAAGCAATCTGGAGTCTGACATAATGATCTCCATTTAGCTGTCTGTGAGCCTGTTGATCACATCCAGTGGTGACCCAATAAGCAGCTGTCTCACGCCCTCAAAACCAAAATAGGATTAATGTAAAACCACTCTCCTTGCACAACCAAACCCGCATCCGGCAGCATCTCGTACAATTTTAAATGGGATAAAAAAAATCCTATACGATTTCAGATGGGAGCCCTCGCCCCTAACCATTTCCTCATATCCTCAGCAAAACCTTATCCACAAAACAAACAAATAATTATAATATTGAAAAAAAATGGAAACGCGATTCACTTCAATCGCACACTCAAAACCTGACCTCTCATGAGCATAACGAAATTTCTCGTTTCTTGGTCCGAGCGATAGCCTATGTTACCCGGACTCTTCTATTTTGGAAGAATACCCGTGTCATGTTGTGGCGACACTGGTGTGGGTATGAGTGTTGGGTGTGGCATTTTAGCCTAAAATGTTCAAGATTTCTAAACTATTGGCGAGTCGGACGCTCATATCCCCACACTCGATACGCCACCCATATCCGAGTCCAGGTACAATAGGCGATAGCTAGGGGTTGCTGAAAAGGATGAACAGAAAGAAATAATAAATAGGGTTGTGAGCTTTGAACATTCAGGCAATAATTTCATCCACCATCTGTGTATCTCCGCAAACGCCGACCAGTAAGTCGCCTCCTTCCAGCCATCCACCCAAGGAGATCGGTGTGTCGGTGGGGGAATTTGCATGTCAATTATGAGTAGCGCCGGCGGGAATTGAGGCAATGCTATTTGTGCTGGTTTCACCATCTTTTTTATGATGCCTATAGTGGCGAATAATGTGCTGCCTCAACCTCAATTGTCTTCCCATTGGGGCATATACCTGAAACCAACAAGACCCAATATCCTTATATAACATTACGAACACATTGACATATACTCATCATTAAAAGGTAATATGTAGATGATTGTGAATCATCAAGTGGCCCATGATATTGAAACTGACTCGTTTCGTCTTCGAGCATCCAAGGTTTATTCTTGTACTTCTCCTACGCATGCAGCCATATGATTTTAGAAAGCAGGTAAAAATAAGAAACCAAAATTACTGGGAAGCAACATAAAGCTAATCATCTATAGACACTAAATCGACAATCAGACTGTTATTTTCTTATCATTATGCACTAAAGAGTAAACAATTTTACACAAACAGTTTCATTCACTTTGTGAAATGGAATTCAATAAATAACGATTAATGTGTAGCAGAAAGATTCCATAACAGTAATATTCTAATGTATCAGACTTGTTATAATTAAATCTCTACTCACAAGAACTATCTGATGAAACTCCAACATGAAATTAATAGCGATGATCAAAGTTGACTTGAGAATTATCACACCTTCCCAGTTTGGTCTGCTGTATAATAAACATACAAGGAATTTGGGCAATTGCCAAAAATAAGAGCTTCAATATATTGGTTAGTGAATTACCCTCAAGGTATGAGTAACTTTGCGCCTCTTTTTGCATCAACCATTTTATTTTCTTTATTCTTCTTAAAGTTAGGCAAACCTAAGGCAATCTTGTAATAAAGTAATTTTTTTCACTACTGGAACACGCCCGAACATTACATTCCTGCAGAAAACAATAATGGCGAATTTGAACACATCAAAAGGAGGAAATTGCTTAAAATTAGCATGAAATGTGAAATATAAACCCGAAAATGACAAGTGTCAGCCGCTAGATGCCTTACATTTTTTCTTATATGTATAGGAGAGATATATATACATAAACATAAAATCTTGAACTTGGCAATATTCTAAACTACAAAATCTAGAAGCTGTAAATTATGTATCGTGCTTTCTCTGCTTTTGGGTATTCACACTTGAAATCAAGCAGCTCTTGGATACGAAGGGACCGAAACCTGTGAAAAATGAAGTAAAAAGACACCTGAAAGGAACACAGAACATATAATCAAAAAAAAAAATTTACCCAAATATTTAAAGGCCAAACCGTTTAGAGCGGGAACAGCAGCCCTGCCGATTTCCTTGAAAATCAATGGAGTTGATAGCAACTTCGGCAGAGGCTTTCCTTTTCATATTGACATAGTTTTGTGAATCTTTCCTCTGCCCCACAATCATCATCGCTGGTCCAGGTACCTGAAATCACTCTAAGCCACAACTCAAAGAAAATCTCATTGAAATCCAACAACGGCCATGTGAAGGACCTAATATCAGCAAAACTAAACAACATATCAGTTTACGCGTAGAAACATATGTGCTGCTCTTGCCTCTGTCGACCTAATATCAACAATGGCCATGTGAAGGATCCGACCTCCAGACTCCGAAACTCGGCCCCCGACATCACCTCCATCCACCTCCAGAACACCTGGTTCATATCGTGCCTCTCCCAACCCTTGCACGCGATTATTTATCGAATCCCACGACCGAACATCTCTTTCACCCTCAACCGGGCCGCGCTCCCAGAGAGCAGGCCGACATCCACCGAGTCGAAAACCGCCACGTAGTACTTCAGAGAATTGCAGAGGCTTGACTCCCGGCCCGTCCCATCGTGTTCCCCTTCCTGCTTGGCTACAACAACCACCTCGAGACTCGCGCTAGAGATGACGCCGAAGAAGTCCCTCATTGCAGCCACACTGATTATTGAAATAAGAAAATGTTGAAGACTGAATTTTTACCATTTCTACCGTCAACGCTGGTGAAAAGAACGGAGCTTTTGACAACAGATAGAACACACAAAAAAAATAATTCAATTAATCAAGAAAAAAAAACACACACAAATAAAGAGAAAAAACGATAAAGAGGTTGAGGGAGACTGAGTGAAATGGCCGCAAGAGGCAAAAAGTTTGCTCTAAAAAGTTCAGTTGGAATTTAACCGTACCACCGAAACGTTATCTGAAGCACTCGCGTTCTCCCAACTGGAATCACTCGAATTCTCCGGCGATCCCTCGTTCTCCGGTACCAATGCATCTGAGCTGACCATTTTCAGCTGACCAGAAGAAAGTCCACATATCCTCTATTTTTTCCTATTTTTTCCTCTCGTTTTTTTTTTTCTCTATTTTCACGTACAGACAATAGTAGTGATGGTGACTTGGTGATAAGCTTTTTCTACTGGGCTTTTCTTTGAGGCCAGAGAATTTCTTCTTCGAGATGAACGGCCGCAGGGGCGAGGTGAAGGAGAATGAAAATGAGAGATGGCTAGGTTTGAGAAACGGGGAAATTGGGGAAAAGAAGATGTTGCGTGTAACAAGTTTCCGCCCAGATCTTCTGTGAAAAATATCTCCCAAAGAGCAAAAACGAATGGCAAAAAATCGCCCCGTACG